GGGCCAGGAAGGAGGCGGGGCCCCCGGAGAAGCGGCAGGTGGTGAAGGTGCACCTGTGGGACGTGAACATCTCGCGGGAATGGTGGGCTCCACAAGGGCAAGACCTTCAACAGGTGGAAATCATGTCCCTGGCAAGGGGACCACCCACTCCTTGTACCCACAACCTCTAGGAAAGTGGTTCTCAACCTTGGCTGCTCATTAGAATCACCTGGGAATCTTTTATAAAATCCTGATTTCTGGAGAGGCACTAGCGCTGACAGCCAAGCCCCAGAGCAGCTCAGCGTTGGGCCAGGATCACCCAGCGTGAACGTCTGTGTCCGTGAGGAGAATGGCATCTCAAGATGAACCAGCCAGGAACGGTCCCCAGGAAGGAAACTTCCCGCTTAGATCTCGCGGAGGACCCGTCAAGCAGGAGGGAGAGGAGGCGGAGGAGGTCGGCGTCCCCAGCCCTGGGCTCATCTCATTGAACAACAGCGGGGATGCGAAGGCGGAGCTGCGGGCCATCTATTGGTCCTTCTGGTCGTGGCTGCGGCCAGACAGGCACAGTAAGCTGGAGATGATTTTCCAACTGTCGGTGGAGCAGTTCCTGCGCAACATGCCCAGCAGCGAGAGGGCCGTGTGGCGGGAGAAGTGGGAGTCGAGTGGCAGAAACATGGAGGCGTTCATGGGGCACCTGATGAATGAGTGCCCGAGGCCCCCCCGCATGGTCCTTGTAAGCATGGGGGGGGCAGGAAGCCAGGGTCCTTGTCAGAATGGGGGGGCAGGAAGCCCTGTTCCCGGTGAACATGACCTTAGGACAGATCCGGGACTACTTTCAGGCGCAGCGCTCAGCAGCAGCCTCCATGGCACTCACCCTGGGGACACCCTCCCAGACTCCCCCAGAGACACCCCGGCCAACAGCACCAGGAGATGCAGATGAAGATGGCGAAAACCTTTCCAATCCAGACCACCAACCCCTGGAGGATGAGAGCCCTCACGGCCCCGCAGAGAGCGAGGGGTCCGGGGAGAGTCTACGCAGCTCCCGTTCAGCAAGTTCGGGCGCCCCCACTGCCCAGGGAGAGCCTCCCCGAGAGGAGGCGCCCCGGGAGGTGGGAGGCGCCCGGAAGCTGTGCCTGTACCGGTGCGACCAGTGTCCCCGGGTCTTCAGGTGCCTCTTTCGGTTCCAGCTGCACCAGATGAGGCACAACAACGAGCGGCCCTTCGCTTGCGCCAAGTGCGGCAAACGCTTCTTCCAGGCCTCGGACCTGCGCGTGCACGAGCTGACCCACGAGAAGGGGGGGCCCTTCCCTTGCGGCCGCTGAAACCAACCTGCGGGCGCTCGAGCGCATCCACACGGGCGCCAAGCCCTACGTGTGCGCTCAGTGCGGGAGGACCTACCGCCTGTCCTCCACCTACCACCGCCACCTGTGGATGCACCAGAGGAAGGCCTCCATGCCCGGGGACACCACCTCCAGGGGCTCCACATCCAGGGACTCAACGCCCAGAGCCTCCACGCCCCGGGCCTTCACATCCAGGGACTCCATGCCCGGAGCTTCCTCCCTGTAATGTGTGTGTGTTTGTAGATATATTTATTTTATTTTATATTTTTATTGATTTCAGGGAGGAAGGGAGAGGGAGAGAAAGAGTCATTGATCACCTGCCTCCTGCATGCCCCCCACTGGGGATGAAGCCCACAATCCCGGGAATGTGCCCTAGAAAGTGGCTGACACGTTTTAAATGACCTAGTTGTTGAATAAATAAAGTATTGTTTATTTCTTAAAATCCAGAAATGCCTCTGATGTGGTGTGGAAAGCGGCTCCCGGTGGCTAGTGATATGGGTTGTGGGAGGTGAAGCAAGGAAACAAAGTTTGATCAGGTGTGTGTGATTGAGTAGATTCAACACCCATGAGAAAATTGTGAACATCTTGGCCACATCCACCTTTGGGAACCCCTGGACCACTGGGGCTGGACCCCAGCATATGGCACCCGGACAGGCCGAACAGGATTCCCCTAGGTAAGGCCCCCCCCACCATTGAGAACCCCCACACTCTGGCCGGATAGGACTCCACCAGGGTACTGCAGACCCCCCTATAGAGGATAAGTAGGGTAAGAAGGTGGATAGTACAGAACTTAGATTGAGAAGATGTGCCATACTAAGTCTAAAGGAAAAAGACGCTGTATTGATCTTTAAACACATAGGCTTGATAGCAGAGGAGTTAAGGTTACTCCCAGTCAGACGGAATGTTTTATACACTTGTGTCCATGCTTTTCTGAGGAAGGAAAGGTAAATGTAGAGGCATGGGAGAAGGTAGGCCTAAGGAGCCTTATCCTTAACCCCACTGCAGCCTTTCCACCCCGGGAAAGTGCAGGATTGGCAAGCTCTCCCTGGGGTGATAGATCAGGACTCAGGCAATAGCGGAAAGCGCCAATCCTACTCTTAAAATGGATACAAGAGAGCATTTGAGGTTTTTCTTTTTAATGCCTGTTTTGGGTTGAGTAAATGGATTTTACTTAGTTTTAACATATCAAAGTTAGCTCTTGACACAAAAGGAAAAACTAAGAGTTTGACTCGAAGTTGGGGTTTTGTTTTGAGGTGCTGAGGCTTGGGGGTGGAGCCAATTTACGGTAGAAATGTGAAGCTGCGGCTTTTTGGGTTGAAGTGGGAAGTTGTGAATACAGAGCAGTATGTATGTTTATATATGGTCAGAATTCCATCAATATAAACCTTTTCTATAAAAACAAAAAAGGACGAAGGCTACGCAAGGGACCGAGGTGCCAACATGGGCTCAGCTGAAGAAGTTAACAACTGAGGCCCAGCAGATGGTAGAAAAGCAAGAAGTGGAAGCTACTCCCTCAACCATGTTTCTGGCTATGCTAGCATTGGTTAGCTGCCAGTCTTCTGCAAAGTCCTGCACAGCCAAGTCCGAGGACTCTTGAGTAAATCAGCAAAAGAAACTTTCATTTAGTAGAAAAATGTTACTGTAGTTTGATTTCTCACTTATTACTGTTTTGCATTGGCATTTTTTGTTATTCTTACTAGTTTTAAAAATGTTAACACATTAGTATTGTTTTAATAGCCAGAGCTTGATGTTTAAGTTTTACTTTCATTATGGTCTGTAGTTTGGGTTTTGCATTGGCATTGTTTTGTTATTATTTTAATAGCCAGAGTTTTGTTCTTGATCCTGAAGTATTACTTCCATTATGGTAGCTTTTTGTTCTTGATGCTTAAGTTAAACTTTCATTATAGTAGCATAAAAGTAAAAGAAGGGTGACATGTGGGGAGCCTCTATAGGGTTAAACCTCGGACTAACCTGTTGGCAAAGCCACAAACAAGTCCCAGGTTAGAGGGCACAGTCCTCTTAAGCATAATTAGGCTTGACCTTATGACGCTCCCTAGATCTTACCTGGGAAGCTAATGGGCTGAGGGAAGTGCAACAAAAACAAGTGAAACTCACAAGAACAGTGTAAACAAGTGAAACTCACAAGAACAGTGTAACTTTGGTAACAACTACCTTGTTTACCTCTGACTATAAAAAATAAAGGTTCAGCTTGCCTCAGGATCTTTCTCTGTGGCCTCAGCCAGGCACAGGAAGATCCACGGAGACTAAAGAGAGCTAGAGAGTTCTGAACGCTGTCTCCGTGTAAAACATTCTTCGCCGACTCTGTCCACACCTTTGGGAACCCCTGGCCCTCCGGGGCTGGACCCTGGCAATCCTTACTTTGCCTCATGCAATCTGGCTATAAAATAAAGACTCGGTTTGCAGGCAAAAAATAAAAAATAAAAAAATCCTGATTTCTGGGCCTCATCCTCCAGAAATTCAGTTTCTTTGTTATGGGGTGGGGCCATAACATTAGTAACAAAGAAACAATTTCCGGAAAATGAGGCCCAGAAATCAGGATTTTAAAAAGATTCCCAGGTGATTCTAATGTGCAGCCAAGGTTGAGAACCACTGCTCTAGGAACTGGCTCTGTCAATAAAGGCATATACTTCTCTCTAAACAAAAAACACTCTAGAAGGGTCTTGGGCAACATGTATTGAAATATTTAATCTTCAGTTACTCGTAATAGCTAAAGATGTGGAAACAACGAAATGTCCATCAGTGGATGAATGAATAAATACTAGTAAAATGTGGTGCATAAGTATAAGTACAATGGATTGTTATTTAGCCTTAAAAGAGAAGAAAATCCTGTCCTAACCGGTTTGGCTCAGTGGATAGAGCGTAGGCCTGCGGACTGAAAGGTCCCAGGTTCTATTCCGGTCAAGGGCATGTACCTGGGTTGCGGGCACATCCCCAGTGGGAGGTGTGCAGGAGGCAGCTGATCGGTGTTTCTCTCTCATTGATGTTTCTAACTCTCTATCCCTCTCCCTTCCTCTCTGTAAAAAAATCAATAAAATATATATTTTTTTTAAAAGAAAATCCTGTCATATATAACAAATTAGATATTGATTATTTACCATAATTAAATTTATCTGTAAAATATTTAGGCCTATGCTTTTTAGTTATTTTAAATTTCCTTTTATCATATTCTGTTATTACTGATATGCACTTTCTACTGGTTTTTGTTTCAATCGGTAATTTATATTTTCCTAGAATAATATTCTTTAATCTGTATTTTCAAAAATATTTAGTATAAAATTTTACCTAGTGTTTTTTACATATCCTCTATACATGTAGTTATGACTCCTTTATTATTACTAATGTTAATTGTGGTTTTTCTCTTTTAGTTCATTATGTTTAATGAGACTCAATGAATGTCAATGTCTTGGTATTTTCAAATTAAAAGACAGGTTTTAATGATCACTTTTAATTTTGGTTAACTATTTGTTTTCTTATATTAATTTTGACTTAATATTTGTATTTTCTGTTTTGTTTATTTTCTAATATCTTCATTTGAAAATTTATTTTTAATCTTTTTAAAATATATGCATTTAGAGTAAAATATTTTCTCTGGACTACTCTTTGGCTGTTATGAAGATTTAAATATGCAAAGTACTCACCATGTTCATTTTAAGTAGGTTATGATTTTATTTATTTTTTAATCCTCATTTGAGGATATGATTTTATTGATTTTAGAGAGAGAAGAAGGGAGGGAGTTGGGGGGAAGAGAGAGAGAGAGAGACATCTAAGTGAGAAAGAAACCTCAGTTGGTTGCCTCCTGTATCCTGAACTGGAATTGAACTCAAAATCCAGGTATATGCACTGACAGGAAATCAAACCCAAAACCATTTGTGCAGGGGAAAATGTTCCAAGCAATTGAGCCACACCAGCCAGGGCTAAGTAGGTTCATGATTTTAGAGAAGTTTTTCTCTTCATCTCAAAAGAGCACTTAGAGAAATATCCCAAATGAACAGATTTCAAAATTTCATGTTTTTTAATTCAGTGAATATAGCCTTCACTGACTTAAACAATTTTCATTTTTGAAATTAAAATGTCCTTTTTCATCAAATCCAAGGTTAATGATTTTTTAATGTTTATATTTAAAACTTGTCATTCATGCACAGTGTAACTAAAAAGAATGTCTATTCTCTGTTTAACAGAAATAAAGCTTTAAATATATTTGATTATTCTTGGTGTTTACCTTATTGAGTCCTCTAAATTTTATTTTCTTTTACTTCTGTTCTTGGAATACAATTCACCGTCTATTCAACATCTACTAATGAATGCTAGTATCTCACATACTGATTCATCTGAGGCTGTTGAAGTTAAGGGAACCATCCAACATGTATGATGAAAAAAAAAAAGAGAAAGGAATGATAACCCTTAGTTGACCCCTGAGAGTCAAGCATATGTGCTGGTAGAGTTCTGAGAAGTCAGGATATAGAGAGAATGAATAATAAAGCTGAGCAAGACTTCCCATGGTTCAGTGAGATGGCTCTGAAAGTAATGCTATAACTGTATCAATTCGTATTTTCTGCTCTAAAAGCCTTTGGAGATCAGTATGGACACAGCAATTAATTTTCGTGACTAAAAGAAAAAGTATGTATAAATTTTATGTCATTTCCAAAATGTGTTCCATAAAACTACTCTGAGAAAACTAATCATTAAAAAGAAAAAGATTTTGAGTTAATGCATATTTGCCTATTTAAAGACTATCAAGTTCTGAGATGAAGACAGACATTTAACTTAGAGTTATTTTGTTTTCCAAACTTTTAAAACTCTAAAAACTTTTATTTTATAAAACACCTATTACTATTTAGCAGTTCAGAATAGTCAATTTACTATATTATGTAATTTTCATGAACATATCATTTATATAGTTTATTATATCTAATGTATCTTGTTATAGAAATATAGTTATGAAAGCTTTACTTTATGTCAATGAGTAAAAATATGAGCTACAAATAAATAAGCTAAATGTGTCTGATACATGTAATACATAATTAGCCTGTTTATATAAATATTCATATAGGACACATATGTCAAAAAGACTTATATGCCCTGACAAAAATATATGCCTTTGGTCTGGAGTAAAAGCTAATTAAGAATATTTATTCTTGCTAAGGTTAAGCAATGTTTTCCTGTAAATAGTTTTGGTTTAGAATTCTAAGAATGTACAGAAAAGCTGATTCTAAAAGTTTTCTTCATAGAATTTTTTAAAATAATTTTTTAAAATAATGAACAGGGTACACTGTAACTGATTTCAAATTTTGAAACACTTTGACAAAAATCTGTAAATACTATGTTTTTGTTAAGGAGATAATTTCATTAATATAAATCTATCCACTTACCCACCTATCTAGCTAGCTAGTTACCCTAGAAAAAATAAATGTTTTTAAACTGTTTATATTTAAAACTTGTCATTCATGCACAATGTAACTAAAAAACTGGCCAGCATTAAGCATAGATCACTAAAAAAGAAAAGCATTCTTTCTGTGGTGTTTAAGGATAGTTTATAAGACATTATAGATGAAAAGTTTCAAGGTTGCATATGAGTTCAAATGTCATTAGGCTTACCCTCCAAAGATGTATGCTTTAAGTTGGACAAGAATTTTTTATAACTCCACAAGTAATATTGGACACAACATATCTAAGCTGCCTACTGAATATTAACTGTATTTATTGCCACTAGGAATAGATACTATCTACTGAGCATTTATCATGTACCAGAAATTATGTAAATGAAAGAAATTTCACAGATTATTGTAACTCACTTCGCATTTAAAGAAAGAGGAATTGGCCCTGGCCAGTGTTTCTCAGTGGTTGGAGCAGTGGCTCACATAATAAAGTGTTTCCGGTTTGATTCCAGGTCAGTAGTACATACCTGGGTTGCATGTTCACTCTCTGGCCCCAGTTGGGGTGCCTGGAAGGAGGCAACTGGTTGATGTGGCTCTCTCACATCCATGTTTCTTTCTTCCTCTCCCTCCCACTCTCTGAAAAAGCAATGGAAAAATATCCTCAGGCGAGGATTAACAAAACAAAACAAAACAAGAAAAAGATAAAGGAAGAGGAATTGAGTCATAAAGAAGTCAATTTATCCAAGGTCATATGGGACAGGGCAATAAGATCCTGACTTTCAATTCAATGTAATTTCAATTGCATTAGCTGGTTTTGACCGGCTTCCATAATTCTATGGAATCTCACTGGACTCTTTTAATCTTTAGAACATAATTTTCTCTACGTGGTCCAGATATCAATGATCTCACCTCAACCTTAAGGATTTTTGTTTTTGTTTTTTGATATCAGAAAGGAAGGGAGGGAGAGAGAGAGAGAGAAACATCAATGATGAGGGAGAATCACTGATTGGCTGCCTTCTGCACACCCCCTACTGGGGATCTAGCTCACAACCTAGTCATGTGCTCTTGACCGGCATCAACCCGGACCCTTCAGTCTGAAGGCCAATGCTCTATCCACTGAGCCAAACTGACCATGGCTCAACCTCAAGTTTATATAAACATATGACCATTTGTATTACTTAGAATAGAAGCCACTAAACCAAGAAAGTCTGACAAAGCACAAAAAAAATTATTTCCTTTTTAAGATCAAACATTTTGTGTTAACTTCCATATATACTATAAGAATAAGAAGTTAAGCCGAAACCGGTTTGGCTCAGTGGATAGAGTGTCGGCCTGCGGACTGAAGGGTCCCGGGTTCGATTCCGGTCAAGGGCATGTGCCTGGGTTGCGGGCACATCCCCAGTGGGAGATGTGCAGGAGGCAGCTGATCGATGTTTCTCTCTCATCGATGTTTCTAACTCTCTCTCTCTCTCCCTTCCTCTCTGTAAAAAATCAATAAAATATATTTGAAAAAAAAAGAATAAGAAGTTAATAAATATTACAATATAGGGAAGCAGAGAGAAGCTATATTTTAAAATCTACATTGTCTTTCTCATCCATGCATTAAATATCTAGCCTAATTTTGCTTTTAGGATTTAGCTTATTTGTATTCAGGGAATATAAATCTGCTTAAGAATTCATCAAAGCAAAAAGTGATTTGACAAGTAAATTTTTCCCAGGAAATTATGTAGATACTAGAGGCCCAATGCACGAAATTCGTGCAAGAGTAGGCCTTCCGTCCCCTGGCTGCTGGCACCAGCTTCCCTCTGGCACCCGGGACTAGGGCTTCCCTCACAGCCCTGGCTTCAAACAGAAGGATGTCTGGAAGTACATCCGGTCTAATTAGCATATTGCGCTTTTATTATTATAGATGCCCTTATATGCACACAGAAACATAAACACACACAGAAAAACATGTATAGATGGACTTAAAAGTGAAATATCTATATGGATGTGTGTATATTTGTATACACACACACACAAAAATCTATATTATTTTCTGATGTTACCTCTATCAACACAGATCATTGTGGAATTAAATAATTTGTACTTATATTTCCATACACAAATGTGTTTTGTTTTAATCTACTGTCCCCAGGTTACTTTGTAAACCCCATAATTCAATTGTGTGGATCATTCAGAATTTAAGATTTAGATTATGGCTCTTTGGGTCTTAGAAAACACTATTAAGACAACATTCTAAACATTTAAGGGTAAGAATCTTAAAGTCATATAATAGTTTCTTTTTTAATATTTTTCAAAAAGTAACTGACTTCACAAACACCAACAATAACATGATTTAGACAACTGAGAAACAGGCAAGTGTATTTTAAAATGCTAAAATAAAACACATTTGTACAAGTACAAAGCGAAACAATGCTGATAAAAATGTTAAATTTTATGAAAAAAAATCATTTGCAATTCACATCAAAATAATTTAACATTCTCTATTGTTTTAATAGTACAAGTTGCAACAACAGAAAAAGAACAGATACACGCACACAATTTTTTTTTTAAACCAAATCAGTTATAAGTGCAGAAAAATGTAAGTACAAGCACTTGTAGCCCACACAAATCTTTTAGGATTGGCACCATCTCCCTAAAACATCTATATTCTATATAGATTTCTAATTACAACACCACCAGCAGCTGCCATTGAAATCTAGAAATACACACAATATACATAGTATATTTGTTCACATTGGGAAGATCAGTGAAATTCAGCCAACTATTTTATACATGCCTCATTCTTCAACAGATAGTAGAGAATCTCCCAGGCCTCAGACCCTCTTTAAAGTGAATTCTAATTTATCTTTATGCTTTTCACTGATCTGTATTTTTTCACAGTATAAAATTGTAAATGGTTACTATAGAGATTCTGACAGCTTGAGGGTTATTAATAAGCTGTGGCTAAATGTGAACTCAGATAATACCTTTGAAGTCTCCAAAACATGTACATTTTTGCTGGGAGACTAACATAGAAAATGTTTATTTTTTTTTCTTAATAAGTATTTAATTCCTGGTTTGGAAGTCACAGAACTGCAGCAGAGCCATTGTACAGTTCATTTACAGTCAGGAACAGCTCCTAGTCTTCCTGATCACTTGCTGGTAACAGCAGTAGCTTGGGAAAGACTGTTACTATCAAGGCTTAGCAACACTTGGGAGTTTGCTTTTTTCCAGTCAAATTTTATCTGGTTCTCCTTTCCATACTCCCTTTCTTTCTGTTCCCCCCTAATCTAGACAGATGGTTCTTCCCAATCCAGATGTGCTTTTCTCAGGCTGCCCCCACTTCTCTCCCCAAATCACAGAATGAGTAGACTGCTTAGATAGTCCACATCACTTGATCAAACCAGGTCTTCTTTTTTTTCCATCCTGGAACCAAACTGTCCTGTAGGGTCACTTTTCTGAACTTTAGCATTTTGCTGTACTTTCCCCTTTCTTTTAGTCCCAACTGAATTATCACTGGACACCAGGAACAGATTGTTTTCAAGGAAATTCAATGAAAATAGGTACCCAAATTAATTGTGAAGTTCACATCCTAGCCCTAGAAGGAATATTCATTTCTCTTTGTATTGTAGATTTATTACTTGGAACCTGGTATGAGAATTGGCAAAGAGACAGAGTTAGCATCATTCCAAAATAAAAAAATCTCAAGAATGCACTACTACTACTAATATATACAATGTATAGAATGAAGTGGCACAGGGCATAGAAATACAGAGAACAATACATCTTGTCCCCTAACTGGATAAATTATTTTTCTTAGAGTTGATTGTAATTTCACGTGGAATTATTACATGGTAATTTATTTGCTTTTAATTTCTAATAAATTAATGTACTTTTAAAAGAAATATGTTACGAAGAACTTAGAAAAGATTTGATCATGGAGAAAGTTTAAAAAATGGTATTCTGTTGGTCAATACAGTGAAACTTATTGTACTTGAGAATAAAATGGAACTCAACATAGGGTTTTACGAAAGACATTTTAACACTTAGGCAGTAAAGCATATTTAGAAATGTTTCAATGTCTAAGAAATCAAGACAGTAATCCTCAGGTGAATGCCACCCTTTAGATGAGGATCCAGGGATAATAATAGTTCAATATATTTACATTTGTTTTTTGAGTAGAGGCAGACATTTACTTTCAATGACACCTTAAAATTTAGCTAGGTTCACTCTCTTTCAAGGGTCTCATTATCATATTTGGAATCAGGGAGCTCTGATGATGCTATTTCAAATCTGTCATGGGAGGTTTGAAGTTTTAAACTTATATTTGAGTAAATTAATGCTAGCTTTTAATATTTTATATTGGGAGATTTGATTTAAAATTTAACACTAAAACAGGTACCAGGAAAAGGAAATCCAGCAGTATATTTATTATAGCTTTTAAAAGTGGAGAATGATAAAATATGGCCAATGGATATATTTCTATTTCTGAGTTCTTTTTTTTAGTCGATATGAAACAAAAAAAAATACATACAAAATAAGGATATTGAGCAAAAGAAAAAAAGGTTTTACCTATATTTCTGCCAAAAATGTACTTCTGCCTCACCGAAAAAGTTTTTCATAAGGCTACCTTTAGTATAAGGCTGGGTCAACTGAACTTGAAATTTATAGGACATTTCCTCCTTTTATTACTATCCTTATTTAAAAATCAAAAACATTTGGCACCTGAGGATAGCTGTAATGGGAGGAAGAAAGATGACAGTGGATGCAGGTCTTGAGCTGTGAATGCTATCTATATGAGCCTATCAGAGCATGTGTATTTCTATTATAACTTTAAATCTCTTTTCTGCAGTATTCAAAAAGTGACAGTATGAAATGCACAAAATGATATTAATAATTACTTTAAAAAGGAAAATAGTCATAATTGCTTTGCCTCTTTTTGGAATGGCTAAGAAAGACTGTGTGGTTTATTTTCATTAAGGTTCCTCTGTTTTAGTATTCTGTATTGCTTTGAAAAAAATCTACATTTGTCATAGTTCATAGCTGCCCTGTTTGCAGCAGCCAAGAAAAGTTAAAATCACTGCTCACTGGCATGGCTAAATCTCTGCTAAGCCAACTTGACAAAGTTTAACATTTCCAGTGTATTAAGACTGTGTTAATTTTTTTCAACAACAGTGCCTCCAGTCGTGACAATGTCTTCATTGGGTCTTTGGACCATTCTTCCAGTGGTGGGACTTGAAAAGAACAGAGGAGCTTTTTCCGCAGCAGGTTCTCAAAAGAAAGGAACGAAGAAGCCCAAATGCATATGCTAATAGTTTAGCTGGCAATGCTAAGGGAACAGCATTCACAAGGAGGAGTGGCCCCAGTTCATGAGAGAGATAGCCAAGCTGGAGCTTAAGAATGATTATTATAAAGAGCATTTCCAGCTACACAACGCACCCCAGTAAGGGAATTACAAAACAGTATTCCAGAAAATATTTTTTTGCTACTCCAGTATTGATTGGCAACATGGTGAAATAGTCAAGAAATCTTCCACTGGTTTTCTTGGTCGATGGAGGTGAATTGAAATAACTAGATGGAATCTCGGATGCAGGCTTTTGGAAGAGGATTTCACAAACAAATTGGAGAGGAAAAGAAGTCTCTGGTTAAAAGCCCTACATGCATCAGCGCACCACTCATTATCCAGTTGTGTGCTATGCTTCGGACACACTCACTACGCCTCAGGAAATACAAACAAACAAAACAGAACGAGATAGGTTGACGTTTTGGTCCCAGATTTTCAGTTTGTTAGAAAATGTACATTCATGTTTGGTGAATCAAAGACTCTTCTGGGAAAAGAACTGAAGTAAACAAACGGAAACTCTGTACAGTTGCTTATCGACTATGCTTTTCCCCCCTCCATGATGCTGTTTCACCCTCATTGCTTCCCTAGAGCAAAGCACTTGGTATGTAACGGTTTGAGCAGACTCCTGCCAGCCCTCAAAAATAGCAGTGTTTCTTAAAAGCCCATGTGTTCTAAGGCCACTAGAAGAGCATCTGCCAAAAGATTTGTCGTTGGTGTCTTCGTCGGTTGATGTTAAATAGCACTATTTAATCTCACGTCTCCAGGGCGGCTTTTACTCCACATCTTCCACCGCTGATCTTAAACCCGGCGACTGCACTGGTCACCGTGCGGACACGGGGCGGCCTGGCTCCATGGGGAACCCAGCGTGGTTTCCAGTGACTCTCACAATGACGAGGAGCTCTGAGTGTAATCTCTGATGATCAGTGTGTCATATTTGGGAGACGATGGAATACACAGGGCCGATTCGGACACTGGCGAGTTGGGCGTTGTGCTCCCCGAGTCCACCGAGTCTCTGAAGGGGGACGGCGGGGTGAGGGCCACCAACTCCTCCAGGTCCGGCTTGCCCGCTGCAGCCTCGGGCCCGGGGGCCGGGGTCTCCAGG